ATGTGGAAAAATTTGCTACTGTATAAATATTACATGTGATTAGGTGTCACTCCTACTGGCATCAACTGTAATGTAGACATCAACTTTGCAAACTGCATGTAAGCAACTAGTGATTATCAATCAGCATACAATGGCTGCATTATATACATACATCTATTTTGGTGTTGGAGTAACACCAAAATAGTTCTATTTTGGTGTTACTCCAACTCCTACTATTGTATCAAGCACTTCATCATCATTACTGTTACAGGATTATCAACAAGTAAGACAGTACATATACTAATAGATGTATGTAGTCTGTTTGCTTTAAGTAATATCATCAAGTCATCAATAGTGCCATTAAGCATGAGTAAACATATCGCTATTGATATATGTTTATGTTTACAGTTTCCTATCATACTGAAACAACTACCATGCATGACTACTGTGTCAACAACTACTGTATTAGTCAATAATGGATAAAACACTGGAGTGATAGTTAATCTAATTTTAGTTCAAACTGCATTATTAGCACTGGCTATAATTATAATTATTATACTGGCACTGGTTATATGCACATGAAAAAACTAACATTGGTCAAAAGGGGTAAATGTATATAGACAGTCATTAGATCTACTGAATTAATTTTTGAAATGAATAGAAAATCAGATAATGAGATTGTAATGGAATGCAGTCCAACTTGAATTTAAAACAAAGTTAGTTACACTAGTGACTATTACATTATGTCTATACACACACACAGTACTGCTGATGATACTAATGAAAGATAATATAGCATACAGTACAGTACAACAATTGCAATCACAGTCAGTTACATGAAATACAATTATCATTATTATTTAAAGCTATTATTGATAGATCAACTATTGAGCCAGTGTATGATACAACTAATAATGAAAATGACACTCTTCTTCCACCACCTTCTACTGAATATGAAATACCAACAGTTTAATAATGTGCTCATCTTTAGTTATTAATGTACAATGTGTGCTTGTGATAGAAAAATGTTTTTAATGTAGTTGAAGTGCAGTGTTTCGATCATTAGATCATAATAAAATGAAGTTTAGTAGCAATAATTTTATGTTGAATATAAAAATAGACTGATATAATGCAGCTAATAAATTATGCTAATTACTGATACATACTAATTTCCATGGCCATAAAAATTAATAGACTACATTTTTGATGCTGTGATGTCATCAATGCTGTACCTTTTGTATATCAACAGCTGATAACTTAATATTTTTATTGGATATATTAGAGCTCCTTGAATATAAATTCTCTAGATCTACATGCAGTGCAACATTTCTCAGTAGAAAACAGGATGACTCTCTCAACTAGTTGTTGTTTTCTTATAACTTTAGTTCAACTGGTATCTGTATCTGGACAAGCACCTACCACTTTACCCAATAATGGTACGTAAGACAGTATAAGCATTGCTAAGTACCTAGTACTAAAATCTATTATGCTCATATTCAGGTGTTCGACTGTACCTACCTTATCAGGACAGAATAATACCTGATTACTCTATGATATATGCTGGCCAGTTTTATGATGTTGATAAGAATTATGATTTTTCTGGCATCAGTGATGCTTTGTGGTGTCAAAGTGCTGGCAATTTTACTAATATTGGAGTGTGGTATTATCCTAATGGAACTGAAGTGCCTTTATTTGATGGACCCTTTAATGATCCATCAGCTCCTAGACCATTGTTCATTAAAAGATTCAGTGGTCAGATTGCACTAGCTAGAAGAGCTGGACTATCAGGATATGAAGGTTTATACAAGTGTATCATTCCTGATGAGAATGGAGTGAATCACACACTAGTGGTTGGAGCATATACTGTCACTGGATACAATAACAATGGTATATGATGAATAATAGACAATAATTTATGTACTTCTTTACAGATGGTCCTGATGCTGATCCTATTATGCAGTTCTCTCTCCTCTCCACTAGTAGATTAGCTACTCCGCCAGTCTTCAGTCTCAGTTTTAATGTCTCTGATGGTCCTCCTACTACTGTCAATTGTTCAGTGAATGGAAATGGAATATCTACTGAACTGTCTCGTGTGATAGTAAATGGACCAGGATCTGTAACAAGAGTGACACTAACAAACTTAACTGAAGCTGGTAATTATCAGTGTACTGTATCTAATGCCAGGGTAACGAATGGTCCTACTCAGTATTATAGTCCTGCAACTAGTATTGCTAATGCTAGTAATTCATCACTGAGTGTATCAGGTTAGTAGTGGTTACAATATATCATGCAATCAGTTTATCTTTATTTAATTTTCAGTACCTGATACTC